AGAAAACAAACCAACCAACCAACCAAACAACAAGCAAACCAACCGACCAACCAAGCAACCAACAAGCAAAACTACCAACCAACAAGCAAACCTACCAAGCAACCAACAACCAAACCAAGTAACCAACAAGCAAACCAAGCAACCAACAAGCAAACCAACCAACCAACTAGGAAAAACTAAGCAACCAACAAGCAAACCAACTAACAAACCAACAAGCAAATCAACCAACCAACAAGCAAACCTACCAATTAACAAGCAAACCAACCAGCAAGCAAACCAACCAAGCAGCCAATAAAGCAAACCAACCAACCAATTAGTAAACTAAGCAACCAACAAGCAAACTAACCAACCAGCTAACTACGCAACCAACAAGCAAACTAACCAACCAACCTACAAACAAACTAACCAACCAACCTACAAGCAAACCTACCAACCTACAAGAAACCAACCAACCAATTAGTAAACTAAGCAACCAACAAGCAAACTAACCAACCAGCCAACTATGCAACCAACAAGCAAACCAACCAACCAACCTACAAACAAACTAACCAACCAACCTACAAGCAAACCTACCAACCTACAAGCAAACCAACCAACCAACCAATTAGTAAACTAAGCAACCAACAAGCAAACTAACCAACCAACCAGCCAACTATGCAACCAACAAGCAAACCAACCAACCAACCAACCTACAAGCAAACTAACCAACCAACCAACCAAGCAAACCAACCAACCAACCAACAAGCGATCCAACCAACCAACTAGCAAATTAACCAACCTACAAGCAAACCAACCAACCAACCAACCAAGCAAACCAACCAAACAAACCAACCAACCAACCAACAAGCGATCCAACCAACCAACTAGCAAATTAACCAACCTACAAGCAAACCAACCAACTAACAAGCAAACCTACCAACCAACCAACAAGCAAACCAACCAACCAAGAAGCAAACTAACCAACCGGAAAACCAACCAACCATGCATGCATCACGACATGCTTCTATGAAAATATAAAGCTTTTTAGATATTGTATAAACAGTCTGAAGGAAGCCAAAGACTCTGGTCAAAGACAGCATGATGGATGATCACAGATGTACTGGTATTTGTGGTAAATATATCTGCAAAGTTTGTTTGGTTGAAAATGAACCCTACCCTTTACTAAACCAGCCTTCCATTTTTTTAAGTTCAAATATGACAGAAACCAAGGTCAGATGCAGTGGACGATGATGGTATTTAAGGCAAAGTTCAACTGTGCCACATCAAGCACTAGTGAAAATGCTGGAAAAACAATCCTTCGGAAAGTTAACATAATATAACAACATTAATCTGTCTTTAAAGTTATTTATTCATAGAAAGTCTATCTGATGCAAAAACAGCTAATAGTGTGTGTGTGTGTGCGCACGTGTGTGTTGTGCAGTTTGGAATTTTTTTTTTGGAGTTTGACAGTCCCTGGTTTTCTCCTTTTATCTACTTTCCAGAGTCTGCATGTTAAGCCTTAGTAAGCTTTAGCAACGTTTACACGAACCGTTGGCAGAAGATTAGAAAAGCCAGAACAATTTATTCTTTCCAAACAACAGCAGCAGTGATTGAAGATAATTTATACAAAACACAACTAGAACAACAACAAAACAAAACAACTGTGCAAATTTAGAAGCAATCCCCTTTCCCTCATGTTCACAAATCCTCATATTTGTACTAAATATGTTTAAGGGTGTAATTTGGGATGACTGAAAGAAAGAGGACTCCTTCTATGGGCTGCCAAAAATGGTTGTGCGTGTGTGCGTGTGTGTGTGAGAGAGAAAGAGAGAGAGAGTCAGAAAGCATCCAGGTCATTTATCAAACCTGGCTGGGCTGGGGCTGATGAATGGGACATCACATCCAGCTGGACACCTCCATTTAACAAAGAGGGAGGTCTGCTGCCAGCCACTGTAAAGGACAGCACAGCGAGCGCCAACCATCACCGAGCAGGACATTTAAGATTCAGACATGATACCCTTTAAGGACCTTGCTACCGAATAGCTGTTGCTTTTATTTGGGTTTTATGTGCAATCAGATGGGTCAATGAAAAGCTGACGACTCAGCCGGAAGAGCTTAATTGTGTACATGTGTTCGTAGGGGACGACAGCGTGGCGCGAATTTGCTGTTGGGTCAGCCTCCTGTTGTGTGGATTGGCGGCTATGGGCCAGTCGGGCAGGCCACTGTCACAACACATTTAATGAGCTGCCAACTTGTGCTATAATGCAAATGAGCAGAGGCCACCACAGTTCACAACACACAATCCATTCATTTCGCCTTGAGATCGGGGGCTAATTCATCTCTTTAAGAAGCTTAAAGTGATACCTCACATTATTTAAGCTCGCTTAATGTTCTTTTAGAACACACATATGCCCTGAAATCTAAAAACAAATCGTATGATTTTTATGAATTTTTATGCTTGATTTAAAGTACATTGTTGGTGGGTTGTTCTGGGGTTGGTTGGGTTGGTTGGTTTGATTTGGGTTGCATTGAGTTAATTTGGTTTGGTTTGGGTTGCATTGGTTTGTTGGTTTGGTTTGGGTTGGTTAGTTGGGTTGGGTTAGATTTGGTGGGTTGGTTGATTGGTTTAGGTTGGTTTGGGTGAGTGTTGATTTGGTGTTGTTTTGGGTGGGTGGGTGGGTAAGTGGGATGGGTTGGTTGGTTGGTTTGGTGGTTTTGATTGGATTGGATTTGTTGGTTGGTTTGGATTAGATTGGGCTGGTTGGTTTGGTTTGCGTGAGTGGGTGGGTGGATTAGTTGGTTGGGTTGGATTGGGTTGAATTGGATGGTTTGGTTGGTTGGCTGGTTAGTTGGGTGGTTTGGATTAGACTTGTTGGTTGGTTTGGATTAGATTGGATTGGTTGGTTTGAGTTGGTTGGGTTTGGTTTGTGTGAGTGGGTGGGTGGGTTGGTTGGTAGGTTGGTTTGGTTTTGTTTGGGTGGGTGGGTAAGTGGGTTGGGTTGGATTGGATTGGTTGGTTAGTTGGGTGGTTTGGATTGAACTTGTTGGTTGGTTTGGATTAGATTGGATTGGTTGGTTTGGGTTGGTTGGATTTGGTTTGGTTTGCATGGGTGGGTGGGTTGGTTGGTAGGTTGGTTTGGTTTTGTTTCGGTGGGTGTGTAAGTGGGCTGGGTTGGCTTGGATTGGGCTGGGTTGAGTTGGATTAGATTGGATGGTTTGGTTGGTCGGTTGGTTGGTTGGTTTGAGTGCTTGGTTGGGTTTGGGTGGTTGCCTGGGGGTGGTTTTTTGGTTGGTTGGTGGGTGGTTGAGTTGGGTGGCTGGGTTGGTTTGGTTGGTCAGTCGGTCGGTTGGTGGGTGGGTGGGTTGTTGGGTTGGATTGGTTGTTTTGGTTTGCTTTGGTTAGTTGGTTGACACAATAGCAGGAACTGGGAATCATTTAGACTCTGAATCAATAAAATAATCAGAATCCTAAGATGCACTCACACTATGCTATCAAAACTGTGCCCAGACGTGTTTCCTGGTTCATTTGACAAGTGAGTGCTCTGAATCAGGCCTAGGCACGGTTCAGTTTGCCAGCCCTGGCCCAGTTGGAAGAGGTGCGCCAAATTGTGGTTTGGTTGGATTTTGGCATGGTACGTTTGTAGTGTGAGTGCAAAGCTCATCTCTAATTTATGAGTCCAAAACTGAAGACGCTTACTAAAGGGAGAGTCGCTTTTAAGGGAGAGTTTCATATGGATTTATTCATCTTTCTTACTTTTCAATGAACACAAACTATCGGTCCATAAAAAGACGCAAACTGCATGTCAGCTGCACCTTCAGCAAACCTGTTAATACCTGCAGCATGATGACTTTTATGATAATTTATGAGCGTAAAAAGTGGTGGATCTGTTTGGCAAAATACTTGACTGTGTGTCACCGCATCCTAAATGACTAAAACGATAAAGCTAAAGCAATGTCCACTATGCTGAACGAAAGCACTTCTCTTCTGTTAAACCGAACAGTCGCATCATTGATGCAGTAAACAAGCTCAGGTTCAGAGAGCAAAATGCAGTGTGAGTACAGGCCTGCAGGGGAGAGGGGAGGGGGGACAATCACGCTCCGGCACAGTTCAAGGCAACTGTACCTAGTGTGAGTACAGCCTTAATCAGAGATTTCCAACAGGCAGGTTTATTTGTAAACCTGGCAAATAACAAATAATTACGAATAAAACAATTATTCATGAAAGTCAGGTTTCTAAAACCCCTTACACAGAAAAAAGAGATAAATCATCTATTAAAGAATGAAGAGTTCTTCAATCTAAATAAATCTAAAGCTGTTTCTATTCAAAGCGATGCAACTTGTACTTATGCACAAAACTGGAATATCGCATAAAACATTTGCAGGCACAAAAAGAAAGATACATCAGATATTAAAGAGTGAAAGGATATATTAGGTAGGACTCGGAGTGTTGAAAATCTGTGTTTAAGAAAAGGATGATAGCGCCTGAACATGTCGAGAGCTCTGACGCCTCCCAGAGACATGAGCAGCCGTCATATTGAACACCTCCACACAACACGCTCGACTGTAGCTGTCGCTGGACTCCTGACAGGTGAAACCAAGCAGTCACATACCCAGCGAGTGCTTCCCTGTCTCCTATAGCTGCTCTAATAAATCAGTACAGATGCTGCACATGTCACCATCAACACTAAACAGTCAAGAAGGTTAATCAAGAGAAGCCTCAGATTAAACGCTTTATTGGAAATGAAAGATTATCGATATCTGGTTAATAGAAAGGGATGAGATCAGACAGCTGAATATTAATAAAGTGATGTATGGATACCCCAATGGCTGGGTTCCAAAACATAGTAAGCCATCTTATTGTCTGTCTCTACTAATCTGGAATGCACGACCAAGTCAGCAAAAAAGTAGAGCATTCATAGTGTGGTGGGGAAGGCGTGATCGAACACCCAGAAAGGGGGGAGAGCAGGCGGAGACACCGGCGGCTGGTCAGTGGTCTAATCATAAATAATTATTAACACCTGTGTTTTCTAGTGATTGGGCCGGAGAGACACCTTCATAAGGGGAGGAGAAGGAGAAGCCGAGAGAGAGGAGAGCCTGTCGAACTTCAGTCTCGACACGCACACACATACACAGAACATTATAAATAAAAATTGTGCTTACCTGATATCGCCGACCCTGCCTTCTTCTTCCCACGAAACAAACTTTATTACAGTGGTGCCGAAACCCGGGAAGAAGAGGAGACTTCGCTGCCAAGATGACCACTCCGTCAGCTACTCCATTCGCGGAAGTGATCCAGGCGCTCGCGGTCCTCCATCGCGAACAACATGAGGCGCTGGTGGAGATCCGGGCGGACCAGGACCAGCGGTTCCGTGCTTTGGTGGAGGCCCAGCGCGAGGACCGCGAGCTCGTCCGGAGACTGCTGGACCAGGGGATCCGGCCCGCGTCGACATCTGCCGCCCACCCTCCCATCTCCCTTCAGAAAATGGGGCCTCAGGACGACCCGGAGGTATTTCTGGACCTCTTTGAGAAAATGGCGGAGGCGTGTGGCTGGCCACGGGCCGAGTGGCCGGTGAGAGTCATCCCGCTGCTGTCAGGCGAAGCCCAGATCGCGGCGCAGCAGCTACCGGCCCAGAATCTCCTGGACTATGCTCACCTGAAGCGAGCCATTCTCCAACGGGCCGGCCGCAACCCGGAAGAACAACGCCAGCGGTTCCGGTCCCTGGAGCTGAGTGAGAGCGGCCGGCCCTTCGTGTTCGCCCAGCAGCTCCGCGACGCCTGCCGCAGATGGCTGATCCCGGATGGCCAGAACATCGACCAGGTGGTGGACTCAGTGGTGCTGGAGCAATTCATCGCCCGCCTCCCCTCCCGAACATCGGAGTGGGTCCAGTGCCACCGACCCACCGATCTTGAGACGGCCATCCAGTTGGCGGAGGACCACCTGGTAGCGAGGTCCAGGGTCGGCGATACAACCTCTCTCTCCTCTCTCTCTCTTTCTTCTTCTCTTTCTCTCCCCTCTCCCAGACCCAGACAGCAGGGACCTCCTGTGCCAGCGCCGAGGAAGCGGGGCTCTGGGGCGGATACCTCTCGCTCGATGCCTCGGTGGGGGGGATATCCGGAAAGGGGTGGGGAAGCACGCCCTCTAGTGGTTTCTCCAGCCACAACAGGTTTCTCTCCGGCTCAATCGGTTGGACCAACTGGCCCCGGGGGTGCAGTGGTGAGGTCTGGGCCGACGTGTTGGCGGTGCGGGGGCGTGGATCATAGCCCCGAGAATTGCTCCGCGATGGAGGTGGGGGCTTTGATCCGCGTACCCGACGCCCCGGCTGTCGCCCCCGGTCGCAATGGGCTATATCAGATACCGGTGAGTATAAAGGGGGATAAATATCAGGCCTTGGTGGATTCAGGGTGTAACCAAACCTCTATCCACCCATGCCTGATGCAAGACACGGCATTGGATAAAAGCCGCACGGTTAGGGTGAGGTGTGTGCACGGTGATGAAATTCACTACCCGCTAGCGGCCGTAGAGATCCAATTTCGGGGTCAAAAACATAGCGTAGAGGTAGCGGTTAACCCGCACCTCAAGCATCCGCTGATTTTGGGAACAAATTGGCCTGATTTTAATAAACTATTAGGGGTTTTGACAGCGGGTGCCTCTTGGAGAAAAGGATCGACGGCTAGGGGGCGGATCGCTCAGCTGGGGGAATCCCCGGTGACGTCATCGCGCTCTGACTCAGGGGGAGGCCTGGGAATTTCCCGCTGTAAGGACTTCCCTCTGGAGCAGTCGCGTGATGACACGCTGAGAAATGCCATCGAGCAGGTAAAAGTGATCGATGGGCATGTCCTCCAGCCTGAGCGACCACTCAACTATCCCTATTTTGCGATCATTAAAGACAGGGTGGATCGAGTGACCCAAGACACTCAATCAAAAGAAGATACCACCCAATTATTGGTTCCTAAAAGCCGTCGGGAAATGCTTTTCCAGGCGGCTCATGCTAACCCTATGGCCGGACATTTAGGTCAAGCGGCCACACTAAATCGCCTCATGGCCCGTTTCTTTTGGCCGGGCATTCACGGAGACGTCAGCAGATGGTGCGCTGCGTGTCCTGAATGTCAGCTGGTAAATCCGCCGGCCACCCCAAAAGCGCCATTGCGCCCGTTACCATTAATGGAGATCCCCTTCGAAAGAATTGGTATGGATCTCATCGGGCCATTAGAGCGATCCGCACGCGGACACCGTTTTGCATTAGTCCTAGTGGATTATGCAACCCGGTATCCGGAAGCTGTAGCTCTCCGCAACATCTCCGCTAAGAGTGTTGCGGAGGCTCTCTTCCGCTTCATCTCCCGGGTGGGGATTCCCAAGGAAATCCTCACCGACCAAGGCACCGCGTTTATGTCACGCACTTTGCGCGAATTATACGAATTATTGGGCATTAAATCGATTCGGACTAGCGTCTATCACCCACAAACAGACGGACTGGTGGAACGGTTTAATCGCACACTTAAAGCAATGATTCGTAAATTCGTTCACGAAGACGCGAAAAATTGGGATAAATGGTTAGAGCCCTTGTTGTTCGCCGTGCGGGAGGTTCCCCAAGCCTCTACTGGGTTTTCCCCATTCGAGCTCCTCTACGGCAGACAGCCCCGAGGGGTGTTGGATGTCGTCAGAGAGGCTTGGGAGGACGAGCCTTCTAACAGCAAAAATGAAATTCAGTACATTCTGGACCTGCGAGCAAAACTCCATGCACTGGGGCGGCTATCCATGGAGAATTTGCTCAAGGCTCAGAATGAACAACGCCGGCGTTATGATAAGGGCACTAAACTACGAACATTTTCACCGGGAGATAAAGTGCTTGTACTGCTGCCTTCTTCTAGCTCTAAATTACTCGCCAAGTGGCAAGGGCCATTTGAGGTCACACGGCGAGTGAACGATCTCGATTATGAGGTGGTACGAACAGACAGGAGTGGGGCACGTCAAATTTATCATATTAATTTATTAAAACTATGGAGGGAGCCGGAGGACGTGGCGTTAGCAACGGTGATTACAGGCGAGGATGACCTGGGACCGGAGTGCGTAGACTGTAATCGGTCGAGTGCTCTGGTCGCCGGGGGTGATCATCTCTCGCTCGCCCAGCTCGCTGACGTCCAGCTCCTACAAAATGAATTTAAAGACGTGTTCTCACCCCTGCCCGGTCGCACTAATATGATTCAGCACCACATCGAGACCGAGCCAGGCGTGGTCGTTAGAACCCGCCCGTACCGTCTGCCTGAACACAAAAAAAAAGTGGTTCAGGAAGAATTGGGGAAAATGCTAGAGATGGGGGTAGTAGAAGAATCACACAGCGACTGGGCGAGCCCGATCGTCTTAGTTCCTAAGACAGACGGCACGGTCCGGTTCTGTGTAGATTATCGTAAATTAAATGCCGTATCAAAATTTGATGCGTATCCAATGCCGCGGATTGACGAGTTGCTCGACCGGTTAGGCGCTGCTCGCTTTTATTCGACATTGGATTTAACGAAAGGGTATTGGCAAATTCCCCTTTCTCCAATATCCCGAGAAAAAACTGCCTTCACAACGCCGTTTGGATTACACCAATTCGTGACACTTCCATTCGGGCTGTTCGGGGCTCCGGCGACGTTTCAGCGCCTGATGGACAAAATACTTGCCCGCCACTCAGCATATGCCGCTGCGTATTTGGATGATATCATTATCTTCAGTAATGACTGGCAGCGGCATATGCAGCACCTGCGGGCAGTATTATCAGCGCTGAGACGGGCAGGACTCACGGCCAACCCGAGGAAGTGTGCAATTGGGCGAGTGGAGGTAAGGTATCTGGGCTTCCACTTGGGTCATGGGCAGGTGCGGCCACAAATTGATAAAACCGCAGCTATTGCAACCTGCCCGAGGCCCAAGACCAAAAAGGAGGTGAGACAGTTTTTGGGGCTGGCGGGATATTATAGACGATTTGTCCCTGAATATTCGGCCCTCGTCAGTCCCTTAACCGATCTCACTAAAAAGGGGGAACCAGATACCGTCCAGTGGACGGAGCAGTGTCAACAGGCCTTCACCAAAGTTAAAGCTGCACTTTGCGGGGGGCCGCTATTACATGCTCCTAATTTTGCTCTCCCCTTTATTTTACAGACGGATGCGTCCGATCGGGGTTTGGGGGCGGTGCTCGCCCAGGAGGTGGAGGGTGAGGAACGGCCGGTGCTGTACATTAGCCGCAAATTATCTAACAGGGAGGCGAAGTACAGCACCATAGAAAAAGAGTGTTTGGCGATCAGGTGGGCCGTCCTCACTCTCCGCTATTATCTCTTGGGCAAGGAGTTCATCCTCTGTTCGGATCATGCCCCCCTCCAGTGGCTCCACCGCATGAAGGATACCAACGCGCGGATCACCCGTTGGTATCTCGCTTTACAGCCTTTCAAATTCAAAGTGATCCACAGGCCGGGCGCGCAGATGGTTGTAGCGGACTTCCTCTCCCGGGCGAGGGGAGGGGGGGGGGAGCTGCAGGCCGGACGGCTGCCCGGCCTGAGACGGGCGGTGGGGGTATGTGGTGGGGAAGGCGTGATCGAACACCCAGAAAGGGGGGAGAGCAGGCGGAGACACCGGCGGCTGGTCAGTGGTCTAATCATAAATAATTATTAACACCTGTGTTTTCTAGTGATTGGGCCGGAGAGACACCTTCATAAGGGGAGGAGAAGGAGAAGCCGAGAGAGAGGAGAGCCTGTCGAACTTCAGTCTCGACACGCACACACATACACAGAACATTATAAATAAAAATTGTGCTTACCTGATATCGCCGACCCTGCCTTCTTCTTCCCACGAAACAAACTTTATTACACATAGCATTAGCTGAGAAGATCAGACAAAATCAAATACATTTTAAATTGATGGTTAGCTAAATATTTAATAATAATACATTTCACATACATTTTAAACTACAGCTGACAACTCATTATAAAACAGGTGACATTATGGGCCCTATCATACACCCGGCGCAGTGTGGCGCAAGACGCGGTGCAATAGTCTTTTGGTAGTTTAAGCTTGGCGCAAGAGTCGTTTTGAGGCGTTGCGCTATGCTGTTTAAATAGCAAATGCATTAGGGCTCATTTATGCGCCCATAGGCGTTCTGGTCTAAAAAGGAAAGCGTTCTGAGGCGGACTGCTGGCGCGTTGCTATATTGAGAAACTATAATAGATTTTTCATTAGACCAAAACTAACCCGGTCTAAACTCCGGCGCAGAGTTGTGCTTCGCTTAAGCACTGCTTAATACGCAGAAGAGAGCAATAGGCAAATATCTTTACATATGAAAAAAATTAAATAGTAAGGATATATATATAGGATTTAATAAGAATAGATATAGGATATAAATATAAAGGATTAAAATATTACAAAACATATTATTTTCTAGCCTACATAAATATGAAAAACTACTGCTTTTATGTCTTCTTCATCTCGGGAGGCTTTTTCAGTTCATTCATAACAATTTGCTTTTGTATAATGTTATTATTATTAGCAGTATTATTTATTATATCCATATTTATATTTGTTTTATTAAAAACAAGTTTAGATTTGCCCACCTGTCAGGTTTTAGACCATATGGGGCACAGCATGTGTTTTAGGATATAACTGAGGTTTTTGAGCACATTTTGCTATTATTATTCATTTATTTGTTTGCTGGAAATTAGAACTGAATTTAGAAATAGTTTTGAAACAAATATTTGCGCTTAACAAACGAAATTAATTATTTATAGGCTAATTGTTGTTCGTGCGTAAAGGTTTCCCTATCAAAGAGCGAAAGTGAAAGTGATCCATTATCTCTCATTCTCACGCAGTAGATGCTCTGTTTAACAGTTTTCTGTTAAAAAATTGTTAACTGTTTGCTTGTGAAATGCTCATTTTTTCCACTTAGACTTACTTTGCGTCCTGTAAATAGCGAATGCGCTCTTGGCGCGACGTATCTGGGTCTTAAAGGGAATGGGAGATGAGACTGTAATTGGTTTATTCTCAAAACACACCTATAACTCATTAAGAAAATAAAATCAACCCTTTTAGCCCATGCGCCACGGCGCAAATTGGATTTTCCCGTCCGTAAATTAGCAAAAAATGCGTTTTGACATGCCCTGAAAGCGTTTGCGCCCTGCGTTTTGAGCTCTGCGCATGGTCTGTCAAGATAGAGCCCTATAAGTCAATCTCTTTCTTTTGTATGTTGTAGTGCTGTGGTTATACTTTAGTTATCGGGTAGTGTTTGCTTTGGCTTTTTCATTAATTAATTATTGTGACATCCTGATTGCAACAGAAAAATACTGGGAAATCTCTACATACTGATGGCATTTCATGATGTTTAGCCATTTAATCTTAAAGTGTGAGCAAAATCACCTGTTTTGTCATCACTTTAGAAATTATGCTAGAGGATCATTCAATTACTTGTTCTGAAGTGACGTTTGTGAATCAACAACAGTTTCTGCTGTTTGCACAGTCAGAAGAAATGAATTCCCCTTATATAAAAGCATTTTGAGACACTCTGTGTTTGATTTTCTTTGTAATCTACACAATATACACTCGTAGCAGTGCGATATGGCATTAAGGCACTCTGCCTGTGGCCTCAAGCCAACGAGCTCCTTCCAGCAGTGCCAATATACAGCCATATCGTACTGCTACTAGTATGATATTGCTCATATATATATATATATATATATATATATATATATATATATATATATATATATATATATATATATATATATATATATATATATACACGCCGGAATGTTTCCAGACATATCGACCAAGAACATACCAACTTTTCAATTCCCATGGGGCTCCACAAGATTGGAAAAATCTGACATTGCAATATTTTGTATTTTTATAATATAAATAGCAATATAAATACAATTTCACCAGATTATTCAAATAAATATTGTTTCTAAATATTTAGAAACAATTTGTTAAGTTTCGATTGATTGGCATGATTTTATAAGGAAGCAAATTATGCATGAAATGTAATGAACAATTTACAATTATAACTAAACGCAATACAGCAACATTAACAGTGAAATAAACGGTGCTTTATCAATTTTAAGGGTATAGTATAATCGTACTCAGGCAAAAAAAACTGAAAAAAACCTGAACCAGTTAAACAAGATCTTTTACAAAAACTGTGTGGTATAAGTGTGTTATAAGTTGTTTGTGTTATGAAACAGTTCAATCAAATTGAGTGAAGTTACAAATAGTAAAAGTGCTTGCTCTCTCTCTCTCTCTCTCTGTATATATATATATATATATATATATATATATATATATATATATATATATATATATATATATATATATATATATATATATATATATATAAAATGCTAAACTATATAATCCCAAGATAACCTTGCGGTCGGCCTAATGTGGATGCTGAATTGATATATTGTTGATATATAGTTTTTCATCTGGCTTGGTACACGATGTAACTACACAGTCAAGCTTTAAATGAGAAAATTATCTAAACTCTTATTTATTACTCTCTCTCTCTCTCTCTCTCTCTCTCTCTCTATATATATATATATATATATATATATATATATATATATATATATATATATATATATATATATATATATATATATATATATATATATATATATTTTTTTTTTTTTTTTTTTTTTTTTTCAGAAAGATGGTAATGGTCTAATCTGGTTCAATTATGTGTGCTAAGCTAAGCTAAAAGTGCTCCCGCCAGACCCAGAGATTGGCTGAATGGATCCAAAAATGCTAAAACTCACCTGTTTAGCTCTGGGGTAGTTGTAAAATGAGACTATACCTCTAAAAAAGTGCAGCATTTCTTTAACTTTACCACATCCTAAAGATACCCCCAATTGTTAACACTGCTATTCTTTTTTAAGTTCCTTCCTTTCTAAAACAGCCTTCATATCACAAAAATGCTACCTTTCTTTCTCTTTCAAACCATGAAATGAAAATAGAACTTTTTTTTAGGTGAAAGAATGATGAAACCTCACGCAAATGCTGTCATAAATGTTCATTCAACAGCACAACAGTTCATTCATCTGCAGATAACATTACTAGAAATAGAGGGGGGGAGAGCTGTTGGTCAAAAAAGATAGAGAACATGACATCCAGTAATACAAGTCATTTTTCAGAGAATATCAGCACATGATTGAGAGCTGGGCTGTGGTGTGTGGCTTTCAGAACACTTTTTTTTGTGATTAGATGGGCCTGTCTGCAGCTCGTGAATGTTGTGATGGAAGCCGCAGCATCCCGGGGTGCTCAAGAAGTGTCCTGTCAAATTAGTCACACACATCTCAAACACACACACACACACACACAGGTGTAGCTGAACACTAGACTTCAGCCTGCTCCTGGAGTACAGCTCTCTCACCACAGCCTAATAGTCTGATTCTCTTCCTCTCTCTTTCTCTCCTTTGGTAAATGATCCAGCAGCACTATCAGCATAACTTCACCTTGCCAGGAGGCAAGAGTTTCATCATTCTAGACTCAAGTAATACACAGAAGAATCTACAAGTGTGCGTGTGTGTGTGTCTTTCCATTTTGCTCAAACATTTCTGCTTCTTTATGTGATTTTGCTAAGCAGTCAAGTCAGTATGTTGTCAGTTAGCATTGAGTGTTTGGAGGATACATGTGTTGAGTTAAAAATAGCACACCGGAGTGTGTGCAGATTATGTAATTGGAGCAGTTTTTACAAGAAAATGCAAGACATATAAGGCAAGGCAAGGCAAGGCAAGTTTATTTATATAGCACATTTCATACACAATGGCAATTCAAAGTGCTTTACATAAACAAGAATAAAAGAAACAAGTAAAATAAAAATAAAAACAAATAATTAAAAAATGCATAAAAACAAAACATAACATAAAAACAGGTAAAATGTGATATGAAAGAATGAAGAAGAAGAGAAAAACATGATAGTGCAATCTGTCGGACGCAGCACAGTGCTCATTCAGTAAAGGCACAGCTAAACAGATGTGTTTTCAGTTTTGATTTGAATGTGCCTAATGTTGGAGCACATCTGATCATTTCTGGAAGCTGATTCCAGCAGCGAGGGGCGTAGTGGCTAAAAGCCGATTCACCCTGCTTTGACTGAACTCTTGGAACTTCTAGTTTATATGATCCTAAAGATCTGAGTGATCTGTTAGGTTTGTATTCAGTGAGCATATCTGTGATGTATTTAGGTCCTAGGCCATTTAGTGATTTATAGACCAGTAATAATACTTTAAAATCTATTCTGAATGTAACTGGCAGCCAGTGTAAAGACCTGAGGACAGGTGTGATGTGCTCTGATTTTCTGGTTCTGGTTAGAATTCTGGCTGCAGCGTTCTGGATGAGCTGCAACTGTCTGACTGTCTTTTTAGGAAGACCAGTGAGGAGTCCATTACAGTAATCCACCCTGCTGCTGATAAAAGCATGAACAAGTTTTTCTAAATCTTCACTAGAAACAAATCTTCACTATAACAACAACAACAACAACCATAATAATAATAATAATAATAATAATAATAATAATAATAATAATAATA